CATAAACTGACACTGAGGGAGCTCAATGGGACCTTTGTTGCATAAATTGATGACAAGTCACTTTAAGGAAAAGACTTTAATTAAAAAACATATTAATTCTTACATTAGCCCATTATTTTCTTAGAACCAACATCACGTTGACAGGCATGGTTACCTGAGCTGTATAGTGGGGGCTAAAGAGAAGAAAAAATTTCCACCAATGAACATTCTGACACGAGCACCAGCAGGTGAAGGAAATTCCTTCATGGAGATGAAAGTCTCGCTGCCAAACACAAGGGCTCCTGCCGCAGAACTCAGTCCTGCTGCAGTGCGGGCGCTCGGGACTCTGGCTAAGGGCATGGAAGACAGTTATTAGATCACACATAAAAAACACCAGCCCTGCAAGGGCAGGATCTCATCCCCCCAAGAGAGGACACATCAGATATTAACTCACATACCATAGCTGATGTTAGCCAAAAACATTAGTTGCACAGGATTCAGGAATGCAACATTTTCTTCTGTCAAAAGCAAGTGAGAAAATCACGTTTGTGATGGCGTTGCTAAACCATTAGAGAAAGGAGCATTCTACTTTTCATGTGTTTCTCAGCTGGGGCCATAGAGTAAATCCAGTTTTTCCCTCCTCTCCCATATCTTATTACTATGATTAACGTCATCCAAGGAACATTACATTGGACCTGGCAAGATTAGCTACGTTTTAAAGATTTCCACAGCAACCAACATTCTCCATTTATTGAGCTGATTCTGTGGCATTTACTAGATTGCTGGCTCATATTTACTGGTGCCAGATAGGGAGATAACAGCATTCTTAAGCACTGAATTTCACTACACAAGAACTGAAAGACTCACTGCTAAAAAACAGCATTATCTTAAATCTGTCTTACAAGCAGGGGAAAGCAGAAGTTGTGATTCTTCCTCCAAAGCTCCCCCAGGGAAACAATGGCAAACATAAAATTTACTGCAGTGTCCCAGGGAAAGACAAAACCCCTAAGGTTTTGCCACCTTGTTAAGGTTGGTGTTTCTCAGCCAGCTCTGCCCACCAAACACACAGGAAAGCCACTCCAGGATATTTCCTTTACCTGTCCTGAACTTTTTCAATGTCAAGGGTGCAGGCATAAACACATCACCACCACCCAACAGCAACAACTGTTTGTAAAGCTCTGCTGCTGAACACCAGCCTGCTTGCCAGTGACACTCCTCTGTGGAAGCTGCCCACGTTGGTTAAGTACCACAGGCCGGACAAAGCAATCCCAAAGGTCTGAGAAAGGATAAATCAGAGAAGGCCATGGAAATCTTACACCGTTTCAGATGAGGCACGCTGTTACCCATGAATTGTCTGTTTCTCCTCAGGGGGCACACTGGGAAAGACACCCGCATCGCATCATAAACCTGTGAAGCTTTTGGTGAGCGGAGCCTCGGGAGGTTACCTAGCAAAGCTGGTGGCGGTCTTCCTGAGGATGCATGTAAATACCGGTTGAGACTGTATCCGATCATGACAAATCTGAACCTATTTCAGAGCAATCAGCCTTCACGAGCATCCTGCTCCACTCAGACTTTCAGCATCAATAAACCACCCTACTCCCAGGTACTCTAGCTCCCAAAAGCCTCCAAAATCAAGTGTGGCTGGGAGATGGTGTTCCCAAAGACCATGCTGCACTCCCCTTTTGGAGGACAGCTCTCTCTTACCAAGGTCTGTTTCTTACACTTTCCAGAGTCAGGAATGTGCTACCAAACAGCAACTGTTCCCTCAAAGACAGGCTGAGAAGTGCACATACTCAAAGGCAGCTGAAACCTTGTTGTCCCAAATAAAATACACAGCTTGGTCTAAACCACTTAATGCATCACAGATATTTAGGATGAAGCTTCCCTTAGCAGCGATGCAAATCTCAACTACAGGCATGTGACAGACGCCACAGAAAGAGTCAGTACTTCTGTCCTCAAGGAAAAGGGGACTATAAGCCCTTTTATGACAGAAACATCAGTAGTCCGAAAAGAGATTTTGATGACTAACTCTGGACTGAAGTGGGAAAGCCGTCAGAGCCTTTGATCAAAACCAGAAAACAACCCGTGGGACTTCATAAAAGACTTTCTGTTAAGGCTGTTTAACCAAATTTTAGCACCCAAGGAACTTAGACGATTGGAGATTTAAGGGAAAAATACCATCAGAAAAATTGTGTTAGATGAAAAACTATAAGCATCACAATTTCAAATGCCATTTCAGAATTATTTTTTTTTGTCTCATTGGGATTTGTTTGAGAAGAAACTTCAGAACAGGAGGCTTTATGGCAATTCTCACAGAGGTTACAGCTGCACAGAAAGAAGGAACAATCTGTGGAACATGTCTACATGCAGCTATAAGCACCACAATTTCAAATGCCATTTCAGGATTATTTTTTTTTTGTTTCATTGGGATTTGTTTGAGAAGAAACTTCAGAACAGGAGGCTTTATGGCAATTCTCACAGAGGTTACAGCTGCACAGAAAGAAGGAACAATCTGTGGAACGTGTCTACATGCAGCTGCATCTTCCCAAATGCAAGAGTGCTGATACCACAGAGTGAATCGAACCCGCAGTTCCATGACTGCCTCACATGTTTCAGACATGGGATAACAGAGTTCTGCTCACAGTCAGCTCTCTCAACTGCAAAGTTTCCAATACTAAGAAAAAGCAGTTACTATACAGAACACCGGAAGAGACTGTCACGGTCAGTCTCCTAATTAGCTATTAATTTCTATCCCCCAAGCCTCATCTTGGGGGCTTATGCTACAGAATGACAAAGGCAATGCTCAGTGCTCCTCACAGACAGCAACACACCAGTAGTGAGTACCAGGGCTCACCGACGCTTGCTCAGGGCTCCACAAAGGGCTCTGCTGTCCCCCAAGGCCCCAGGAGCTGCTGGACAACTGCAAGGGCATTACCAGGGACCAGTCCCTCGCTGCCCACAGCCAGCCCCACAGCGCTCAGAGGGTTTTCTCAGCCCTCCATGTCTGCCTTCAATTTTAGTACCATCAGTTTTAGGGTCACTGCAAACCTGACCATGGCTAAGCCTGAGCTGAACAGCTGTTAAGAAGAGGACAATGAAATAAAGCGATAAAGAGAGACGCTTGGTTTTGAGATTAGCTCAAAGAGCCTTTTGGAAAGCCTACAACAGCCTGAACGGAGTTAATTTGTGAGGAAATGTCACTACTGAAAAGACGATTTGCCTCACCACTATGACAGAACCAATTCTTGCCATCACAGTTTCACAAGCCTTGATTTAAACTGATCAAACCAGACACCTGCCTATGCAAAGTAATATGACCTATATCAGCATCAAGAGAAAAAGAAAAGCTTTGAAGTGAGAAAATATTAATCTGGTATGTGATGTGTGAGTTCTTATACCTAAGCGTCTGCATACTGTAAAATCTTCATTTCACTTAGAGCACTAAAATATACTCAAACTGAACAGCAAAAAAAGACATTTCTCTGCATTCTCGGGGGTTTTTTTTTCCCTATTTCTTTCCTTTGTAACTGATCCCAGCTACATGGGATGGTGGCTGAGGAGGCACGCAGGGGGAAGAAGAGGAAGAGTGTCACTGTTAAGCAAATAACTTTCAAATCATCTTCCCCACAGTGTGAGTTTTGCACCTGGGAGGTCAAACACCAGGGTCAGCATTTTCTGCTCTAGGTCTTTACGCTAAACAACCAATTAGTTTTCAGAGGGTTTGTGCAACCCCACTCCCAACTAGAGCAGGAGGGAACTGCAGGCACTTGCTTTTGAAAGCCAGGGTCTTTGTATTTTAGACTAAACGCCACGTTTTCATGGCTACAAACCACAAGCCTTTTAGAGTCTCCATCTGTTAGATGTTCTTCCCTACTCTCCAAAAGCCAATGGATGAAAAGTAGCAAAGCCTATTATAACACACTTAAAACAGTGTTACAATGAAGTATACAAAAAAAAAAATCTCCCAAAAATCAAGCTCATAGACAAACTTTAGCTTGTGTTAAATCTCCATGATCTGTCTTACAAGAACTCATGAAAGTTTACCAATTTTAGCATAAGAACTACCACCACAGCCTCAAAAATACCACAAATCCTGAAAAAAAGCATGTTACTTGCCACTCTTCAGCAACAGGGCAGAATTTTCTAAGACTGATTTAGTTTAACTTCCAACCCAAGAGTTGCAATAGGCCTCAGGCCCATCTTACCCAGCTAAGAAATCAATTTCTTTTCGTTTCTACTTGTTATATAAAATTTAATATGGTGACATTTATGAGTTCCTCCAGCAGTAGCTTTTAAGATCAGGTTATCCAAGTACTTCACCATAAATAACATTCAGAGGAAATTTTAACCCATTACATCAAATCTAAACTGCCTGGCTTTGGCTGCTTGTTGATGTGGTGTTTTGGGGAAGGGGTTTGATTAAAAAAATATTTTTGCTCCATAAGCAGGCTTTTTGCCTCAAACATCACATTTAAGAGACACGTTAATTTCACTACTGCAAGATGTGGTCTCTTTGTTACTAATATCAAAATTTGTGGGGTCAACACTGTGTATCAGGAATCGGATATTATACAGGCATCTTACCCCTGAGAATTAGGCGGGCTCAGACCCTCTGCAAAGGCAAATCAGCACTCCAGACCCAAAGAGGTGAAGCAGAGAAAAGTGTGACTCTGCCCCGAGTCAGCTCAGATCCAGCAGTCTTAATAATTTGGACTCTGTGCCACAGAAATTGGGCTCTCCTAGTCTTGAGTCGATCCTGGAAGCAGCACGGCCACATTCCCAGAGCTCAGGCCAGGGGATTAGGTCCTGCCAGCACCAAGCTGGCTCAACACGAAGCCATTTGTACATGCCGGATGGTTTACTTGTAAATCAGGACAAAGCCACCCACAGGTAACTAAAGGGCTGACTAACTTGGACAGAGTAGAACTGGCTCATGTTAACTCAGTCATGACTAAAACATCACATTCAATTCCACAGTAATTGTAGCAAACAGATCAAACAGTTCATCGGCATGAACTCACCTTGGACTTGACCTGGAGACAAGCGAGTGTTTTTCCTGGCATTCACTGCCAGCACATCCTCGCTAAACTGCTCAGTCGACAAGTGTCCAGCTCCTGCCTCTGTGTCGGCAGGACACCTGCCTCGTTTCTTATGTTTCTTTCTCCACGTGTCCTCCTCGTCCTTTTCATCAGAACCAGAAGACTTCTGCAGAGCTGCACGGTATCTCAGGCTGTTCGATACTCTCCCACCCAGGGCATCGCCCGTATTTAACGGGTCAGCTGCAGCTCCACGCTGAGGTACATAATAATCCTCCTCCACCTCCAAGTCTCCTTCTGAACTAACAATGGCATTTTTTTTCTGAGGACCTCTGCTCAGAACAGTTTGGGGTTTATCTTTCTCAAATGCTCCAGGCACGGCCTGTTCCAGGTGATACGACCTCACTGGCGAACAGCTGTGCAGCCCGTTCCTGGGTGGATTATCCTTCCCCAGGCCTCTCCTCGGAGGTGGCTCCAGATCTGAGCTGGGGTCATTGGAGCTGCTGTCTTCCAGCTGCATCTTCTGTGCAATGTGATTCAAATAGGACCGGAATCGGCCACTGTGGTGCTTTTGCACAAGCCTCGCGTAAGCGTTCTTCTGGGGAGCAGCGGGCTTGCTGGGTCCCTCTTTGGCACCTTGGGCAGAAGCAGTACTCCTCACATATCCCGGCTGATCCATAGCGCAGCAAAAGGCCCAAACTTCAAAGAGTTATAAATAGACACAGTGGGAGAAAAAGGGTTATTTTCTTGAAATCAAGCATCAGATAACTGATTACACTAAAAGACACAGAAAATATACTAAAGGAGAATGTATTGACCTATGTAGAAATGTTGGGCTGGTAAATCACTCCACTGGGGGAAGGGGTTTCATGATGTACTTGGCAGCTACCATGCGCCAAATCCCTGCCAGTGCCCTCTGAGTGACCACAGCCCACAAGCTGCGCCTTCCCGTACCCCACACAAAACTAGTATTTTCATCCTGAAGCTGACACCCCAAATGTAAGGGAATCCTTCAATCCGCTCATTGTCACTGGAAAACCCACATAAATTTAAGCATTGACTGACAGACCATATCAGATATATCAGTTTAGCAGTTATCAGAAGTAAAGTCTTATGTCCAACCTGGAGTCTTCAAAAATAACTGCATCCTTACTGAAGGGCTTCAGTGTTGCAGTATAAAGCATACATTGCCTGTTACCTCCCTCCCACAGCAACTGACACTTTGGATTTTATACGACATTTGCTTCAAATACCAAGACTAACCACTTCAGCTTGTCTTTCTGGCCATAAACTCACTCCTAGTATGGTGGAAATAAAGGAAATTCCCCAGCCCAACTAACAGCCTTGCAGGAGCTCACAATTCTTACTGAGATACACCAGCTGCTGCTCCATCCAGCATCAGTTTCTGTAGATGGTATTATGCGTCCACCTTCACTGCACAAGTGTGGAACTTAAGTAGATCAAGCATCTCTGAATCCTACTTCAGCTGCTCTAGCTTTTAAGTTTTTGGAGCAAAACAATCCAGCAAGTTGTCTTCAGCTACTATTAAAGTAAATTACAGGTACAGACAGGACATAGCAATGGTTTTTGCTGTGTGCAACAAGGGGAATATAAAAATATATTGATAATGGAACCCAGTGCAACTGCTGTCTTCTGTGGGTTTCCATAAAAACCTTCAAGACATGTCTGAAACTGAACAGCTGAACTTCACCCCAGCTGGTACCGTTGAGAATTTCAGGGCTCACTTATCTCTTCTAGGCCAGAACAGATGGGCACCAGACTCTGAACTAAACTAAAGGCCACTGTCCATTAAACCCCTATCTCTTCAATTCTCTAAGCACAGGGGTGTTGGCAGAACAGAATACAGAGCTCAGCAGAAGAAAAATGCATATGCTCTCCCCTACTGCCACCACGCTTGGAATTTTTCTTTCCGCTCACTCAGTCCTCTTCTCCCTTTTGCTGCAGTTGTGCAGAGGATAAGCACCCAGGCAGTCTCCTCCACGCACACACCACCTGGGAACGGGGCATCATTCAGCAGGGACCAAGGACTGCAGAGCCGACTCCTCCTCAGAGTGTCTGCTCTGGCCCTTTCAAAGAAACAGCACATGTTGCAGTGAGATTTACTTAAGTAATTGAGCGCGGATGTGAACAAGCTTTACAATACATAGCAAAAATTAAAAATCCCTGAATAAATTGGAAAAAAATCCATGTGTGGTTTGTGATTTTTGTTCCTAAGTTTTTCCATTGGTGCTGGCCAACAGCTAGACTCTTCTAACAGACTGACCTGCTACAAAGATATTACAAAACCCTCACACGGGTAGGTCTGCAGCAAGCTTTCTTTTAACGTCACCTATTCCCGTTGCCAATCCAACAGAAACAGATAACATTTACAAAGGCCTGCGAGACTACTCTCCAAACACTGGTTCCGGAATACAGGAGTTTGCCATATTTATTTACAAGTAGAGAATAAACATTCACACCTCGCCTCTACTATAATTTCTGCGACTTCAATCACGTCAGCAGCTAGCAACGGGAACACAGATAAAAAAAAGGAAGAAAAAAAAGAAAGGGACTTACAAGCCCTCACACATTACAATTTCATTATTATTCTTCCCGTGGGCAACCAGGAATCGAGGACTCCCTAAGGCCGGGGAACAGAGGGAAGGCAGAGGTGGGTCCGAGGCAAACCCAGGCGGGACAGCGGTGCCGGGAAGGAAGCACCAGGATGAAAACCACCCCTGCTACTTTTCACCCGGCTGCTCTCGCAGAGCA